ACTAAACCCTCCTGTTCTCTCTTTCTCTTGTCTTCTTCCTCATCTTCTTCTTCCTTCTTCACTGGTTCGGATTACTGTAGCTGCTCCAAAACAATGGCCATTCTCTTTAGGGAGAGAATTTCCTTGAGTTGTTTGCTTCACCACTTCCTTTGCCTTCTCCTATTGATCTTGGGGTTGAGTCATCTGTGGCCTTCTATTCTAGTGGTAGAGCCTTCATCTCCCAGCTCTTCCATTCCTGCTCCTCCTTCTCCTGCTAGTCCTCCAGTTTTTGCTTCTCATCCTATTCTTCAAAGGTGATATCGGAGACAAAGACTACGACATGAACAGGTTGTTCCCCCATCTATAGCTAAGCCTCAAACACTCTCAACTCCTAAAGAGAGGACAAGTCCCTTACCACCTATTTCAAAACCTCCCTTCCTAGACTTGGACCTACCTATTGTTGCAAGAAAAGGTAAGAGGAAATGTACAACACATTTTATTTCCAAATACCTATCTTACAGCCTGTTATCCCCAACTTATTATTCTTTCTTAGCCTCCATTTCTTCTCAGCCAGTGCTTTAAAAGGCATGGGAGGCATACGCTTGGAGGCGCGCCTCCAGGCGAGGCTCTCCCAAAACGCCCTAAGGCGTATGCCAGAGACGCTAACACCTCTAAGGCGTACGCCTTAGGTGCAAGAGGCGTACGCCTCAGGTGCAAGAGGTATATGCCTCTTGCACTTTTTTCATGAGGTGTGCTAGAGGCGTACGCCTCATGCGTCTCATGCACAATTTATATAAAAAGATAGGAAAAAAAGGAAAAAAGAAAAATAAGGAAAGGAAAGGAAAGGAAAAGAAAGGGAAGGGAAAGAAAAGAAAGAGAAGAAAAAAAGAGAAAAGGAAAGAAAAGAAAAGGAAAGGGAAGGGAAGAAAAGATAAGGGGAAAGAAAGTAGTTTGCCCCCTGCCCCTTCAGCCCCCCAACTTCTTACAAGACCCCCCTTTTCAACTAATGTCATGCATCTTTATTCTTCTTAATATAAAAGATTTTTATTAAAAATAAAGAAAAAATGAGATCCCCCCTTCCTCTTCATCCTCCTCCTAACCCCCCTCCTCTTAAGGAGGCTTACGCCTCCTTGTGTTCAATAGGCTTATATAAAAGATTTTATTAAAAATAAAGAAAAAATGAGATCCCCCCTTCCTCTTCATCCTCCTCCTAACCCCCCTCCTCTTAAGGAGGCTTACGCCTCGTTGTGTTTGAAAGGCTTATGCCTCTTGCGCTCTGAACTACACCTCACGCCTCTAGGTAGTGGAACACCTCGCATTACGCCTCCGTGTTTTAAAACATTGTTCTCAGACTATATCCACATCAGTTATAGAGGCCTTGTCTAAGCCAAAATGGAGGGAGGTTATGAGAACTGAAATAGAAGCACTTTGCAAAAATAATACTTGGGAAGCTAGAGGCTTACACAGATGTCGATTGGGCTGGTAGTATTGGTGATAGGAGATCTACATCAGGTTACTCTGCCTTGGTTATAGGGAACATTGTCTCCTGGAGGAGTAAGAAACAGTTAGTAGTAGCCAGGTCTTTGGCTGAGGCAGTGTATAAGGCAATGGCACATGGAGTTTCAAAGTTGTTATTCGTTATAGCTCAGGCCACTTCTAGAGGAGATGGGTATTACACATGATAACCCCTTAATGCTTTACTGTGATAATCAGGTGGTAATCAACATAGCTCACAACCCAGTTCAGCATGACAAGGCAAAACATATTGAAATTGACCAGCGTTTTACAAGAGAAATGTTAGCTATCAGAGAAGTTTGCCTTCTTTTTATTGCTTCAAAGCAATAGTTAGCAGATGTTCTGACCAACGGTGTCCCCAAGGCAAAGTACAACATTGTGCAAGCAAGTTGGGCATGATTGATATCTATGCTCAGCTTGAGGGGGAGTGTAGAGATGATGGGCCGAATGGGCCTTATTTTCTTTATTTTTCTTTAAGTAATGTTTATGACTTGTGTTAGTAGGTATTGGACTTAGTTATGGGCCTGATTTTTCTTTTTTTTTTTTATTGTTTTTTATTGTTGTCTTTAGTGCTGGACACCCTACTAAGGGCACTCATGTAATTGTCCTTATTTTTTACAACAAAAGAATAAAAAAGATCATTGGGGGCTGAAGAGAGTTTTTGAACTCTTTTCTTCCTTCCCTTTCTTCCATCTTCCTGCTTTAGTTTTCTCTCATCTTCTTCTTCTCTTCTGTTTTTTTTTTTTCTTTATTCCAGATTATTGCAGGTGGGATCTACAACTACTACAAGGCACTAAACAACAAGAAACAATGCCAAAAGAGAAAGAAAGAAAGAGGGAAGAGAAGAGAGGAGAAAACCACTGAATTGTTTTGAGAGTGATTAGAATATCTTAATCTCCTCTTAGCAATAGGCCCAACTTTATATTTTAAATAAAGGATAGAATTACAAGTATGCCCTTCTTTATGATAAACAGTGGACTGGAGTGTCCTTATTCAAGATAGAATTACTTACCCTGCCGCCCATCTTTGTTTTCTATGGTATATTGACTACGTAATATTTTGTAAATGGGGCTTGGCCCCTTTCTTACATATATCAATTTAATACACTAGTTAAGTATTTCCAATATTATTGCCCCTGTGCAATGTTAACAATGCCACTGATAAAAAGTTCTGCTGTATTTTCATCAATAAAAGTATTCTAGTTTCACAGTTTCTAAAAATATTCTTATTATTGTTATTGTGAAGGACCTTTTGTAACTTTTTATTTTCTATTGTAGTTATAATAAGATGGCTAACAAAAAAAGTATGAACTGATTGTATTAGAATTGAGAAATGCAAAAACAATTGCTGCTCTTGCCATAGTTAAAGGAAAACAATAACCTCCATGTACCACATGTTTGAACATGCTTGTTCACTATGTTACTGTATGATCTGTAACTGCCCTTCTAATGCAGAATTAATTGTCTTTCCTTTTTCTCTTCCTATTGTTGAATTATTGAGTACAAGCTCAAACCATACTTTGTGTTATTTTATTTTATCCAATTTCGTTTGGACTCTTTAAGTTCATACCAGGCAGTGTTGTAAGACTCAACCCAGACCAGATGGTTGAACTGTGAAAACTGTAAACCTGTTCCCTTTCTGGGCCCCGGTTTTCACGGGTTGAACGGGTTAACTGCCCAGTTAACTGTCAAAACCGGGACCTGTGGAGCATTCTGGTTTTTAATCCGGTTCGAACCTTACAGCATTGATACCAGGTATTATCTCAGTGCAGTGTTGAGCCTAGAAATTATTTCTTCTTGTTTATACAAAATTTTTAAACCATGTATGTGACAATAATTAAAAGTGATAGTGTGATGTTCTTCAACCTGTAAGTTTAAACACTAGATCTTCTAGCTCAAGATAGGATTTTCAATTCATGAATTTTCCATCTATATTGTGTTTGTCTCCTATTTTCCATTCTCATTTATTTTGTTCTTTTCTATTGAAGGATTTGAACAAGGAATTGTCACGAAAATTGGAGGCTCAGACTCAGAGATTAGAGCTCTTGACAGCCCAAAGTATGGCCTATGGGAATATCTTAGCACGACAAACAGAGCCTCCTACCAAGCCTGATAGCACATTGCACACAGATGAAGGGGATGAGGTACACCAATTTATGATATTTTATATTTGGCATATCTAAATATTACATATTGTGATATCAAAGAGAGTAAGCCCATGAACAAAATATATGAATCACCGCATCTATGTTTGTTGGTCGTTAAGGGCATGTTCTGTTCCAATCGAGACATGTATATGGCTCAACTTTTAGCCTTACATTTCTACAAAGTTCCAGATATCTATTCTTTGTCACCTGGTATTCTCCTTTTCATACTTAATTAAGGCCAACCCTTCTGAGATGAATGAGGCAGTATTAATGTAGTTGAACTATTTGGAAACAATGGTTGACCTATTGATAAAAAAAGTGTTTTATTTCATTTTTGTTTTTTATGTTCAGAGATGAGTTAAACCTCTCTCTTTCAGTAATCTCTCTTTGCCTGTAGCCTCTGGTGAAACCTCAAATTTCAACTGCAACATATAGCAGTATAATGTTTGCAAAACTGATTGAACTAATTGAATACTGACAATCCCACAGGGACAAGACCATGCTGTCCTTTTGAACAAGAGGTACCAGTTTGTTGGACCATTTAGACTTGTAAGGATGAGCATCGTTGGTGTGCCCCAATGTTTCTTATCAAGGGCTTCTGACCTGCTGGTTTAGTAACTTAATGTGGCATGGAACCTTGAAGACTATGTTTATTGAATGTCATGGCTTTGCTTGAATCTTCTGCTATTATTACTTTATTGCTATTCATTGCACATACCTTAGAGTGGTGCTTAAATAACAGCTTTTGTTTATTCTTGCCCATCAGGTGGTGGAAAGAGTGTTGGGCTGGATAATGAAACTCTTTCCAGGAGGTCCATCAAAGCGCCGAATTAGCAAACTTATTTGATTTCCAAAGTTTATACCTTAAAAATTTTTTCCCCTTCTTTTGTTTCCTTGTTGGTGGTGCAATGAGATCACCATTTGTATATTATGAGCCTATAAACTGCATCCATTCTTTGTAACAGTAGAAAATGTTCTTTTATTTCCTCATTAGTTGAAAAGGTAATCCACCCATGAAGCAAGTTTTAGTTTTCATTTATGTCGAATATGATTCACCCATCTGAGGAATGTAGTGATTCTTTACTTGTCACTTTTTGTTCAGGGAAATTAAATTTACACTTACATCTTTGTTCAGGGCAAGATCCAACTCATGTCGTGCTCCAATTACAGGGATACTTAGAATATATTTTCCTATTGAGGGTTAGTATGACATATCATTGTAAATTCTCCAACGTGTGAGCGAACCAAATCATTTTATTCGACATATCTACAATAGTAGACCACTATATGCTTAGAACGAATTTTAATATTTGATTGAAATCAAGGATTGTGATGTTGATACAGGGGGTGAGATTTGTATATTTTATCATTTGCATAACTTCAATAGTCTTCTAGTGTTCTGTTATTTCCGCCCTTAAAAAGCTAATATTTTGTGATCTGAGATCTAACTACATATAATTGAAGAAAACTGAAGAGAAGAGAGTTGAGGGTTCGGCAATGAGGGTCTGAGAAGAGGATTTCGAACTCTCCCTCTCTCAGCCCCCTAGTACTGTTTTATTAGAAATATTTGAATAATTACAAGGAGGCCCTTAATTGGGTAAGAATTTACACAGAACTTAATATTGACAGGATGGACCCAAAATAAGGCCCATTACAGAAAAGAAACATAAATAACAAGAAAGAATAAGCAACCAATGGGCCATTCGGCCCATCTTCTCTACACTCCCCCTCAAGTTGGGCATAGATGTCAATCATGCCAAGCTTGCTGGTATCATGCTGAAGTTTTGCCTTGGGAATGCCTTTGGTGAGAAAATCTGCCAATTGTCCTTCAGATGTGATGAAAGG